TGATTATTAATCCAATCAGAAATATCAATAATAGCTTTTTCAGAGAAATTTCTAAAAGTCAAAATATATTCTTCAGGAGAAGATTTACCTTCACCTTCACCAAACTCATGATTTAAATTATCATAAAATTTAAAGAGAATTTGAGAAAATTTTGGATTATCTTTTAAAGTGTCTTTCCAAATTTGAACATCTTTATCAGTGACTTGATAGTCTCTTCCGCCTTGAAGGAAAAACAAAGAAACTTGATTTGCAACTTCGTTAATAATTTTGAGTGAATTATTTGAACGAAGATCCAAATAGTAAAGTGCTGATAAACCCATTGGCAATTCTTTAGTTGGGAAATTATGTGTTAAATCCTTTTTCTTTGCATTTTCCACTTGATTCCTGATCACTTTAAGATTTCTTTCTGCTTCTTCTTGTGTACTGTTTCTTCCCAGAATATATTCCATTTGCTCCACATATAAATCTTCTAAATTCCTTGAATTTGCTGCTAAAAAAATCAATCCTTTGATTTCAATTTTTGCTAAATTTTCATCGAATTTCTGCGAATTCTTAAACATTTTAAAAATTCTGGGAAGAAGATTTCCTCCAAAACTATGACCAATCAAATACACTCTTTCCAAATCCAAAAAATCATATTTCAAAACAAGTTGTATTGCTTGTAAAACATCTTCAATTACTTCTTCAACACATGTCAGTTTGTCCCGAATTTGTTTCATTTGTTCAACAAATATTTTTGTTCTTTTATCATATCTAATACTTGCAATTTGGTGCATTGCTAAACCATAAGCAAGATCCTTAAACGGTTTATTTGGGCCAATTGATTCATCACGATCATTTGCTCCACTTCCATGAACAAAAATAGCAACAGGAAATTTTTGTTTTTTTTCAATTTGATTTTCAATTTGATTTTCAATTTGATTTTCATTTTGATTTTCATTTTGATTTTCTTTTTGTTTTTCTTTTTCTTTTTCTTCTATATTTGATTTTGTTTCATCTTCTAATTCTGGTATAGTTAATGAACCTGTTAATGGATATTCTGTATTTTCTCCAACAATTATATCAATTTCTCGAATTTTTTTTTCATCTGCATATTTTGGAATTATATATTTTATTCTATCTTTATTCTCTTGAAACATGAATTGAATAATTTCTTTTTGATCGGAAAAAGAAATTCTAAAAGAATTTTAATTTTAATTTTAATATTATAAATGAATTTTAATTATAATTTTAATTTAAATTTTAATTTTAATTTTAATTTATAAATGAATTTTAATTTTAATTTTAATTTTAATTTTAATTTTAATTTTAATTTTAATTTTAATTTTAATTTTGATTTTAATTTTAATTTTAATTTTATAAATGAATTTTAAATTTTAATTTTGATTTTAATTTTAATTTTAATTTTAATTTTAATTTTAATTTATAAATGAATTTTAATTTTAATTTTAATTTTAATTTTAATTTTAATTTTAATTTTAATTTTATAAATTTTAATTTTAATTTTAATTTTAATTTTAATTTTATAAATGAATTTTAATTTTAATTTTAATTTATAAATGAATTTTATAAATAAATTACATTGAATTAAGAAAACCACGTTCAAGTGTTAAAACTGAAACAACAACATAAAAAGTTTTCTTCTCATTTTGAATTTGTTGAGAAAGTTCTTTTGCATCAATTACTTCAACTTCAAGAATTTTTCCATGTGAATTTAAAATAGAAGACCAAATCATTTGGAATTGTTCTGGTGCTAATTGTTTTTTTGCATTCACATCAAATCTTGACCAAATTCTAAATAAATTATTATTTGCTAAATCGTTTTTTAAAATATGAACTGCGAGTTTTTTAAAGTAATTCATTTAAAGAAAAAAAATGAAAAATGAAAAATGAAAAAAAGCAAAAAAAATTTTGAAAATGAAAAAAAAAGCAAAATTTTTGCTCTTTTTTAAACTAAAATCAAAAAATATTATTTTAAAAAGATTTAATATTCAATCCAATATTCAATCCAATATTTAATTTAATATTCAATTCAATATTTAATATAATATTTAATTCAATATTCAATATTTAATATTTAATTTAATATTTAATTCAATATTTAATCCAATATTCAATCCAATATTCAATTTAATATTTAATTTAATATTTAATCCAATATTTAATTCAATATTTAATATTCAATCCAATATTCAATTTAATATTTAATTTTAATATTTAATCCAATATTTAATTTAATATTTAATTCAATATTCAATTTAATTCAATATTCAATCAATATTTAATTCAATATTTAATTCAATATTTAATTCAATATTTAATATTTAATTCAATATTCAATTTAATTCAATATTCAATCCAATATTTTATTCAATATTTAATATTTAATTCAATATTTAATTCAATATTTAATTTAATATTTAATCCAATATTTAATCCAATATTTAATATTTAATCCAATATTTAATTTAATCCAATATTTAATATTTAATCCAATATTTAATTCAATATTCAATCCAATATTTAATTCAATATTTAATTTAATATTTAATTTAATATTTAATTCAATATTTAGTTCAATATTTAATTTAATATTTAATTTAATATTTAATTCAATATTTAATTCAATATTTAATTTAATATTTAATCCAATATTTAATTCAATATTTAATTCAATATTTAATATCTTTTTCCTTAATTAATTTTATTGTCTTTTCTTTGCTTTTCTAAACCAAAAATCTTGTAGAAAGAAAGAAAAATCTCAAAATCCAAAAAGAAAAGAAAAAAAATTAGTTAATTAATCTTTCTTTTCCTCATCTTTTTTCCCAAATTTCTTTTTGCCATTTTCAACAAGTAAATCAAATTCATCTTTCCAACCAAGAACTTGAACAATTTCTTTAATTCTTTCATCACAATCACCAATAATAGGAATATCTCTAATATTTTCTTTTTTATGGAAAAGAAAACCAGAAGAAGTATTTTGACCCATAAGTAAACTAAAGATATCGACCTCTTTAGAGGTTCCGACCAATTTATTATTAATGAGAACTCTTGGAATAGTTTTTTTAACTGCACTAATTAAACCAGCAAACGGTTGAACTTGTAAAGAGGTTCCAATAACAAGTAATAAATCAGCCTCTTTAAAATCCGGACTGGAAAGTTCCCAAAATCTCTTGGGTAAGCTTTCGCCAAAGAACACAATGTCAGGCTTCACAAGCCCGCCGCACTTGCTGCATTTGGGCAACACAGAATGCATGATTCTTTCTTTTAAACTTTCAGATTCGTATTTTGCTCCGCATTTTAGACATGTTGATTCCGCAAACGATCCATGTGCTTCCACTATTTTATCTGCGGAAAGTCCTGCTAATCTCTCAAGGGTGTCGATGTTTTGTGTGTATACTCGGTGGAGTAATCCCTTGTTGTCTAAAAGTTTGAAGAAATAATGTGTTGGTGTTGGTGAAAAATTTCCTGGATATAATTCTTTTGCTAGTTCAAAAAATGGTTTTGGATTTTCTTTGAAATATGATATGTCAAATACTGCTTCAGGATATGGAAGGTTGAATCGATCTAAATTGTGATATAATCCTGTTTTGGGTGATCGGAAATCTGGAATTCCTGCTGAAACTATTTTCATTTTAAATTTTGATTTTAATTTTGATTTAAATTTTGATTTAATTTTGATTTAAATTTGATTTAATATTGATTTAATTTTGATTTAATTTTGATTTAAATTTGATTTAATTTTAATTTAGTTTTGATTTAAATTTGATTTAATTTTGATTTAATTTTGATTTAATTTTGATTTAATTTTGATTTAATTTTGATTTAATTTTGATTTAAATTTGATTTAAATTTGATTTAATTTTGATTTAATTTTGATTTAATTTTGATTTAATTTTGATTTAATTTTGATTTAAATTTGATTTAATTTTGATTTAAATTTGATTTAATTTTAATTTAATTTTGATTTAATTTTGATTTAATTTTAATTTAGTTTTGATTTAAATTTGATTTAATTTTGATTTAATTTTGATTTAATTTTGATTAAATTTTGATTTAATTTTGATTTAAATTTGATTTAAATTTGATTTAATTTTGATTTAATATTGATTTAATTTTGATTTAATTTTGATTTAAATTTGATTTAATTTTGATTTAATTTTGATTTAATTTTGATATAAATTTGATTTAAATTTGATTTAAATTTGATTTAATTTTGATTTAATTTTGATTTAATTTTAATTTAATTTTGATTTAATTTTGATTTAAATTTGATTTAAAATTGATTTAATTTTGATTTAAATTTGATTTGATTTTGATTTAATTTTGATTTAAATTTGATTTAAATTTAATTTAATTTTGATTTAATTTTGATTTAATTTTGATTTAGTTTTGATTTAATTTTGATTTAAATTTGATTTAATTTTGATTTAATTTTGATTTAAATTTGATATAAAATTGATTTAAAATTGATTTAGTTTTGATTAAATTTGGAATTTTTAATTTTAATGGTAAAATACCTGAAGCACCAGCACCAACCATAATAACAATTTTTTTAAAATTATTATTCTTAATTCCTTCACATAAACCTTCTAGAGTAAGAGAAGTTAAACCACCTGCAAGACTTGGTTCTTCTTTTTTTGTTTCTTTTTCTGTTTCTTTTTCTTCAGTTTTAGTTTCTTTTTCTTCAATTTTAGTTTCTTTTTCATCAGTTTTAGTTTCATCTTGAATTGATAAACTTTCAACTTTCTTAATTAATTCTGCATCTTCATTTGTTTCTTGATTAGTTTCTTCTTTTTTAGACATAATTCTAACTTAAAAAAAATGAAAAAAGAAAAAGGGAAAAAAAATTTTTATTTTTTTTATATTTTTTTTAATTTAAAAAAAAAAAAAAAAAAAATTTTAAATATAAATAAATAAATTTTTAGAATTTAAAAAATAAGAAATTGAAAATAATTTAATTCAATTTCAAATTAAAATTAAATTAAAATTTAAAATTTGGTTTCGTAGTTCAGTCGGGAGAATGTCAGATTCATAACCTGAAGGTCGCGAGTTCGATCCTCGCCGAAACCATTTAAATTTTTATTAAATTTTTTTATTTTTAAATTTTTAATTTTTATTTAAATTTAAAATTAAAATTGTTTTTGTTTTTGTTTTTGTTTTTTTTATTTCAAATTCAAAATCGGAAAAAAAAAAATTGAGAAAAAGAAAAAGAAAAAGAAAATTCCATTAAAGAAAGTATCAAAAAAAAAAAATAAATTTGAATGAGAAGTTTGGAAAACAAACAAAGAAAAACTTTGCAAACCTTTCTTTTGGAATCTACATTAATTATTCATTATTAATTAATTTTTTTTTTGTTTGTTTGTAAAAAAAAGAATAAATTCTGAAGTTTTTCTTCTTCAATTTTTGAATTTTTGGAATTTAACTTTGAATATCAGTTTTTTTTACTTCTGTTCCATCTAAATTATCACACCATCCTTTCACTGGAATGCAATTTGCATATTTACAGAAAGAACACCATGCATCTCCTTCAATATCTCTGTAAAATACTGCAAAAAGAATCACATAATATGCTATTAATAATGGTATTGCAATTAATACTAATATTTTTCTTGTTTTTCCAAAATTAATATATGGCATTAAAATGATTCCTGATAATAATCCCACAACAAATCCACCTATTTTATTGAAATTAATTTTAATTTTAATTTTAATTTTAATTTTGAATTTTAATTTTAATTTTAATTTTAATTTTAATTTTAATTTTAATTTTAATTTTAATTTTAATTTTAATTTTAATTTTAATATTAATTTTAATTTTAATTTTAATTTTAATTTTAATTTTAATTTTAATTTTAATTTTAATTTTAATTTTAATTTGATTTTAATTTTAATTTTAATTTTAATTTTAATTTTAATTTTAATTTTAAATTTAAATTTTAATTTTAATTTTAATTTTAATTTTAATTTTAATTTTTAATTTTAATTTTAATTTTAATTTTAATTTTAATTTTAATTTTTAATTTTAAATTTAATTTTAATTTTAATTTTTAATTTTTAATTTTAATTTTAATTTTAATTTTAATTTTAATTTTAATTTTAATTTTAATTTTAATTTTAATTTTTAATTTTAATAATTTTTAATTTTAATTTTAATAAATATTAATTTTAATTTTTAATTTTTAATTTTAATTTTAATTTTAATTTTAATTTTAATTTTAATTTTAATTTTAATTTTAATTTTAATTTTAATTTTAATTTTTAATTTTAATTTTTAATTTTAATTTTAATTTTAATTTTAATTTTAAATTTAATTTTAATTTTTAATATTAATTTTAATTTTAATTTTAATTTTAATTTAAATTTTAATTTTAATTTTAATTTTAATTTTAATTTTAATTTTAATTTTAATTTTAATTTTAATTTTAATTTTAATTTTAATTTTAATTTTAATTTTAATTTTTGATTTTAATTTAATTTTAATATTAATTTTAATATTAATTTTAATTTTAATTTTAATTTTAATTTTAATTTTAATTTTAATTTTGATTTAAATTTTGATTTAAATTTTTAATTTTAATTTTTACCAATATGAGCAAAATTATCAACTGCAGGAAGAAGACCTAAACCAAAAGATAAAATAATTACTACAATCATTTTAATCAAAGAAGATTTTGGTTCATAAATTTGCTTCCAATTTTGTAACAAATCACATAATAAAACAGCTAAAAGACCAAATAAAGCACCAGAAGCACCAACTTGAACTAAATTTGGAAGAAAAACAACACTCAATAAATTTCCACCAATTCCTGCTAGCATGTAAATTATTGCAACTCGAATTGTTCCAACTGATTGTTCAATTTGTTTTCCTCCTCTCCATTGAAATGAAAGATTTAGTAATAAATGAATAATTCCAACATGAAGAAAAATTGGTGTTATAAATCTCCACCATTGACCATCTTTAATTTTTGGTCCATCTATTCATTTTATTATTATTAAAATTATTATTAAAATTATTATTAAATTTATTATTAAAATTATTATTAAAATTATTATTTAAATTATTATTAAATTATTATTAAAATTATTATTTAAATTATTATTAAATTATTATTAAAATTATTATTAAATTTATTATTAAAATTATTTATAAAATTATTATTAAAATTATTATTTAAAAATTACCTTTTGCACCCAAATCAACCAAAGTTTGTTGAGAAGGACCACCCCAAGGATTTAATTGAAAAGATTCAAAACCATGATTTTTAACCAAAGCTACGATCATCATAACAACATCAACCAAAGAAACGATCCAAATAAAATACGGCTTATGTTCTTTTTGAGGTTCTTCATACAATTTAGCCTGAGCCTGAGCTTTAGCTCTCGCTTTTGCTTTTTCTTTGGGGGTAAATTTATTAGGGTCATCAGGATTTGTTTTAGTTCCACCATCAACAGGCTCATCATCTGAAGAAACAAACGTGGGTTGCCATTCGCCATCAATATTTTGGGCATTTTCTGGACCCGTTTGATTTGGGTCAAAATGTAATTGTAACGTTTCTTGATGTTCTAATAACGGTCGCGCTTTTCTTCGAAATGTAGAAAAGTTTTGCCATTGTTTGTCATGCTCTTTTTGCTCCTCTTTTGGTAAAAATCCTAATGTCCCTCGAAATGTTTGTTTCCATGTTCCAAATCCGCTTCTTTTTCGTGTCATTTGTCCCGTGTTTTTGTTTTCGGAATCTGACCCCATTTCAATGTCTTGTTTGTCTTGTTTTTCTTTTTTGTCTTTTTTATGTTTATGTTTATGTTTATGTTTGTATTTGTGTTTGTGTTCTTGTTTTTTGTCTTCGCTTTTATCTTCACTTTTATCTTCTTCTTTGATTTCTTTTTTTTCTGATAATTCAATTTCTGAAGATTCACTCATTTTTGTTTTTGTTTTTGTTTTTGTTTTTGTTTTTAAATTTTAATGTAAATGTTTTTGTTTTTTTAAAAATTTTAATTTAAATGTTTTTAAAGCTTTTAAAAAAAAAAAATAAAATAAAATAAAAAGAAAAGAAAAAAAATGAAAACAATTTATTTCAAAATTTAATTTTATTTTTTTTATTTTTTTTAATTAAAAAAAATGGTTAATTGATCTAAAAATAAAAAAAATAAAATAAATAAACTTTAAATTAAAATTAAATTAACTTTTTCTTAATCTGCCGGCATCATTTTAATTTAAAATTTAATTATAAAATAACTTTAAAATCTTTCTCAAATTAATTTTTTAACCACTTTTCTTAACTTTTCTTTATTTTTTTTTTTACTATTTATTTTATTTATATGTTATCTAAAAGAAAAGAGAATTAATTGATCAACAACAACAAAAAAAAAATAATTTTGAAAGAAAAATTTTTTCAAGATCATTTTCCACTTGTTTTTAATTTTAATTTTAATTTTAATTTTAATTTTAATTTTTGATTTTTAATTTTAATTTTAATTTTAATTTTAATTTTAATTTTAATTTTAATTTTAATTTTAGTTTTAATTTTAATTTTAATTTTAATTTTAATTTTAATTTTTGATTTAATTTTAATTATTTATATTTTAATTTCTAAATCTAAAACAGAAATTTTATCTTTTAATTTCTCTTGATCAAAAAAAGGGTTTTGAATCCAACAAGATAATTTTAAAATAAGATCATCTCTTTCAAAACTATTTGTTAATTCATAAATAATTATCGTTTTAAACAATATATCTTTTTGTAAAATTGAACAAATTTCTTCAATTTGATTAAAAAAATCATTCATTTTAAAAGAAAAATTTCCAATAATTAAATTATCCATTTGATTTTTATCATCAATAAAAATATCTTGATATTCTAATTCTAAAACAAATTCCAAAAGCTTTTCTTTTGAATCTGTTATTAATTTGTATTTTGATTCTAATTTTTCAACTAAATTTTTCAAGTTCTTGATTTCTTTTTGTGTTTGTAAATAAATTTTTGTTTCTGTTGAAGTTATTAATTCAGGAAATCCTTTAAAGAATTCAATTGTTTCTTTTGTTTGTGTTTCTTCAAGAAAAAATGTTTGTGTTAACATTTGATTCACAATAATATTTCCAATCACTTTTCCTTCTTTGTTTACCATTTCCCATTCTTGGTAAGCTTCCAAAATTAATTGTAAGAGATTTTGTAATTGTTCTTTAATTTTGTCAACAAAAGAATTATTTTTATTTTCATTTTGATTTTGATTTTCATTTTGATTTATATTTTGATTTTCATTTTTAAATTGATTTATATTTTTATTTTGATTTTGATTTATATTTTGATTTTCATTTTGATTTTCATTTTTAAATTGATTTATATTTTTATTTTGATTTTGATTTTGATTTATATTTTTATTTTGATTTATATTTTGATTTATATTTTCATTTTGATTTTCATTTTTATTTTGATTTTGATTTATATTTTGATTTTCGTTTTGATTTTGATTTTCATTTTGATTTATATTTTGATTTATATTTTGATTTATATTTATATTTTGATTTATATTTTGATTTTGATTTATATTTTGATTTTGATTTTGATTTATATTTTGATTTATATTTTCATTTTGATTTTGATTTATATTTTGATTTTCATTTTGATTTATATTTTGATTTATATTTTGATTTTCATTTTTAAATTGATTTATATTTTCATTTTCATTTTGATTTTGATTTTGATTTTGATTTTGATTTTTATTTTCATTTTCATTTTGATTTTTATTTTCATTTTCATTTTGATTTATATTTTGATTTATATTTTGATTTTGATTTTGATTTATATTTTGATTTTTATTTTCATTTTCATTTTGATTTTGATTTTGATTTTGATTTTGATTTTGATTTTGATTTTGATTTTGATTTTTTGATTTTGATTTTGATTTTGATTTTGATTTTCATTTCTTTTGATTTTGATTTTGATTTTGATTTTTGATTTATATTTTTGATTTATGATTTTGATTTTGATTTTGATTTTTATTTTGATTTTGATTTTGATTTTGATTTTGATTTTGATTTTGATTTATATTTTGATTTATATTTTGATTTATATT